TAAGGAGTATCGTAAAACATTAGCACCATTCTTAGCAGCAATGTTTGAAGAAGCTTTAGAGAAAGAGGAGTTACCTCTGACTCTGAAACAAGGGCAAATGAAATTAATTCCAAAACCAAACAAGGACAAACTTAGTATTGGAAACTGGAGACCGATCAGCCTACTAAATAATGATGCCAAAATATTTGCCTCAGTTTTTGCCAAAAGGCTAAAGCCTGGACTACAAGACATTATTGATGAGGAGCAATCAGGATTTATGCCTGGAAGGAACATATAACAATAACATCAGATTAGTACTGGACATGATTGATTATAATGATTATATTCCTGATGAAAACCTTATTTTGTTTGTTAATTTCTATAAAGCATTTGACACAATCAGCCACCAGTTTATGTTTAGAACTATTGATTTCTTTGGAATTGGAGAAAAGTTTTAAAAAGTGGTAAAAACTTTATATAAAGGATGTGACAGCTCAGTAAAACTAACAGGTGGTACAACCCCTAGATTTTATGTAAACTGTGACATTAGACAGGGCTGTCCACTAGGCCCCTTTTTAATCCTTTTAGTTACACAGGTCATGGCTGTACACATTAAAAAGAATTCATTCAAAGGTATAAATGCTCTGGGCAGAGAATTTAAATTAGCTCAACTAGCAGATGATACAACAATATCTTTAAAGGATAAATATGAAGTAAGTAGTGTCATCAGCCGTATCAGGTCTAAGAATGAATTTAAATAAATCGATGCTACTGCCAATCAAAGAAAATCATTTGTCAGACCTGAGTGGTATCCCTGTAAAGAACAGTGTCACCTACATAGGTGTGGTTATTGATAAGAATAAAAATAATCGCAGCAATTCACGTTTTAACCCAATAACAACAAGCAACCAGGAGATTTAATATATGGTTGATGAGAGACCTATCACTGAGAGGTAGAGTTCTTCTCTTTAAGGCTGAGGGTATATCCAGATCCATATATGTGTCACTGGCTCTGGAAATGCCCCCAGCAACTTACAAAAACTTGATCAGGTTCTATTTCATTTTATCTGGAGGAACAGATGTCCCTATATAAAGACAAAAGTCTTATGTAACCCTAAAAGTAAAGGAGGCGTGGAGGTTTGAAGTTTTGAAATGTAAAATAATACATTCAAAGTGCAGTCGTTAGCAAAGCTAATTGAAGACAGAGACAATATCTGGAATATTTTTCCTAAGTTTATATGTAATGTTGGTGGAATCCATTTTTTATTGAAATGTAATTACAAGATTGAAAAATTAAAACAAGCTGTACTTGCCTGGAAACTGATTTACAAGCACGATTTCTCTCAAACTAATATACATATTTGGAATAATGAAAATATTTTCTATAAAAATAAATTATTGTTTTATAGGACGTGGTTTGATCATGCCCTGTGATAGACTGGTGACCTGTCCAGGGTGTCCCCTGTCTTCACCCTGAGTCAGTTGGGATAGACTCCAGCCCCCCGTGACCCTAGTGAGGATTAAGCCATGCAGTAGTGTTTGACGCTGTACCAAAGGGTGCACTGCAGCTGCTTAGAAGCTCAGGAACCTGTGATTTCTTTTATCCCACTGCAGGAACCTTTAAGAGTCAGATTTTTATTGGAGAAATTGATGTAACAAAGAGGTGCTCAAACAAATATATTAGAAACTGTATTCAAACCACAACTTTATCTCTAGGACAGTATTTTTGTAACTCTTTTATAGCGAAGTCAACTGGCAGAGAGCATGGATGGCAGCTGAAAAATTCTGTGTAAACAATAAGGTCAAAGAAGACTCATTCAAGATTTTGCATAAAATTTAGCCAGTAAAAAAAAACAAAACTCTGGCAATATTGCTAATGATTGATTGTGCAAATTCTGTGGGAAGGAGGAGGAAACAGTTCTTCATCTGTTTTATCAATGTTCACTTGTTCACTTATGACTGAAACAATAATCATTGAAACAGTACGCTCCAATAAATGTTTTTGT